GTTCCCATCTTCAAAAAAGGAAAAAATGGATCCAAGAAACTATAGACCTGTCAGCCTGACCTCAATATCTGGGAGGATAATCCCAGATTATAATACCAGAAAAGATAATCAAGCAATGAATCAGCAAACACCTAGAGGCAAACAAAGTCATAACCAAAAGCCAACATGGGTTTGTCAAAAACACATCATGCCAGACAAATCTTATTGCATTCTTTGACAAAGTGACAAAATTAGTGCATCAGAGGAACGCTGTGGATATAATTTATTTGGGCTTCAGTAAGGCATTGGATAAAGTAGACCACAACCTACCACTTGATAAATAGAAAAATGTAGGTCAGACAGCATCACCACCAGATGGATTTGTAACTGGCTGCCCAGCCATACTCAGTGTGTCGTCCTCAGTGGAACTGCATCTACATAGAGGGAAGTGTGTAGTGGGGTGCCCCAGGGCTTTGTTCTGGGCCCAGTGTTCTTCAACATCTTCATCAATGATTTGGATGAGGGGATAGATGGAAATTCATCAAATTTGCCGATGACACCAAGCTGGCAGGAATAGCCAACACTCCAGAAGATAGGCTTAAGATACAGAAAGATGTTGACAGACTTGAACATTGGGTGCTATCTAATAAAATGAAATTCAGTGGAGGCTTCCGGTTCCGGATTGATGCGCTGGCAGACGTGCGGAGTGATCACTCCCAAAGCCATCTGGTTTTCTCCCACCGGGGACCCTGAAAGGGGTTGAAAGTCGCCTTGGAGGGGCGACCATGAAGAAGACCTCCCAGAGTATAAATTACTCGAAAATTGAAGCAAGTGAAGAAGAGAGACCATCAGATCTACCGCTGGGTGAGCTTCCTGGCCGTCTGCAGGTGCTCCCAGTTCCAATCACCCATCCACACTTCAATCTGGTGCTGAGCCCCTTCTAAGTGGCATCGCCACACCTCAAATGCCACCTTGACCACCAGCAACTCCTTATCCCAGAGTGTATAGTTTCACTTGGCAGGGTTGAGCTTGCATGAGTAGTAAGCACAAGGGAAAAGCTGCTTTGAGTTCAAGGGGGCCTGTAGGAACACCACCCCCACTGCAACATCTGACGCGTTCGTCTCCACCATGAACGGTCCTAACAAGTCGGGATGGTGAAGAATGGGATCCGTAGAAAAAGCCTTCTTCAGAAACTTGAAGGCATGCTGCTCAACCGACCCTCCCATGTGAACAGCACTCCTTTCTGCAGCAACCAAGTCATCACAGCAAACCGGGGAATAAATGTCCAATAATAATTTGCAAACCCCAGGAGTCTCTGGATGTCCTTCACTCAAAGCAGAGGTTGCCAAGACTGCAGGGCCTCGATCTTTTTTGGGTCCATGGCAATGCCCTTAGATGAAATCCAGTGGCCCAAAAAGTCAATGGTGGTTTGTGCAAAATGCACTTCTTGCACTTTGCAAAGAGATGGTTTTCTCGCTAGCACTGGAATACCGTTCACACATGGAACCAGTGTTCTTTGGCCGACAACCCAGGATGTCATCTAAGTAGATTACCACAAAGGTGTCCAAGAGATCCCGAAACATGTCATGCATGAGATGCATGAACACGGCAGGGACATTGGTGAGTCCAAACGGCATTACCGTGTATTCAAAACCAGCTTCTACTCATCCCCTTTGCAGATTCTCACCAAATTTTAAGCCCCCCGCAAGTCCAACTTCGTGAAGATCCATGCCTGCCTTAACCGCTCCGTGAGTTCTGAAATTAGCAGGAGCAGGTACCGGTTCTTCATGGTAATGCCGTTGAGCTTAGAGTAATCACAACAAAGTCTCAGTTCCCCTGACCTTTTCTTTACAAAGAGGAGCAGAACTGCCAAAGAGGATGTCAATGGATGGATGAAACCCTTCCACAAGTTCTTCTCAATAGAGTCTTTGAAGGCCTCGAGCTCAGGCTCAGACAAGAAATAAAGCTGAACCACTGGAAGCTTGGCGTTCGGAACCAGGTTGATAGGACAATCGTAGGGCTGATGTGGTGGGAGCTGCTAGGCCTCTTTCTCCCCAAACACGTCAGCAAAATCTGTGATTTCCAAGGGAAGATCGAAAGACAAAGTGGGTGATTTCTCCACCGCACATACATGAAGCCAATGAGAATGATACTTAGGATTATTCAGCTAAATGACCTCATCCAACCACACGATCTGTGGGTAATGTGCTTGGAGCCATTCCAGTCCCAGCAGTATTGAAAAATGTGGAGCAGCCGCCACATAGAACTCCAACCACTCCATATAGTTTCCCATCCGCATCTGCAGAGGCTCGGTAGACGTGGCTACAGGACCCGCCTGAAGTGGATGGCTGTCAATGGTTTCCATCAAAATAGGTGGGGCTACCTTATGCTGTGGCACCGTCCACTTTGTGGCAAAAGTGGTACTCATGAAGTTCGTGGTCATTGCCAAGGACACCATGGCTTGCATGAGAACTTTCTCACCTCCAGTCAGAGTCAACGTCATGGCCACCACCAAATGTCGAGTTGGTGTAATCAGCGGCATTAACACCTGGCCTGATCTGGTGAGCCATTTAAGTTGCCTTTGCTAGTGTTTTCTTTGTGGGACACTTGGCGGCTAAGTGACTGGGGCCTCCACAGTACAGGCGCAAGCCTACTCTGCGCCTCCGATCCTTTTCTGCCTCTGTAAGGTGCATGGGTTCCCACTTGCATGGGTTCCTCGGGGTTTGAGGCTCCTTGCAAAACTCTGTGGGTATTGCAGTGATCACCCCTCGTAGCCACACCCTTTGCTGCTGGAGTTGACCATCTATGCATAAGCTCAGGTGCATTAAGGCTTGCACAGTGCTAGGACAGTCCGTCCGGGCCAACTCGTCCAAAATCTCAAACGACAAGCCCTCCTGGAATTGGTCCATTAGGGCCTCCTCACAATCCTGACTGATAAGCCAGAAGTCAGAGATGTATTTGCTTACTGGGTGATGCCCCTGCTTCAACTCCTGCAGCTGCCAATTAGCTGTTTGCACCTTGACAGGGTCTTCTAACATGGCCTTCATTTGGAGGCAAAAACCAGCATAGTCATCCAACAACTGACTGGGTTGTGTGAGGAGCCGGGTCACTCACCAGGCTGTTGGTCCCGTCAAGAGACTGATAATGAACCCCACCTTCAGTTTGAAAATTATCCAGTCTCAGGCTCATGAATGGCTGACATTGTCCAAAAAACCCTGGGAATTGGGCACAGTTCCCATCAAACTTATCTGGGATAGCAACTGGGCACTTAACGGCGGGCTCATGAACGTTCAGATGCCTGCAATTGCACCAACTAGTTGGAAAGGAGAGTTATTTGCTGGACCAGCTGGGCATTGTCAGCTTGCAATTGCTCCACAATGTCCAACAAACAGGGCTTTCCTTCTGGAGAAAATGGGCTGGGAAGAAACTTTGATGCCCCATTTACTCACACACAGACAAAAGTGTGATTTTGAAAGGTTTATTACTATTCCCCAGCAATTCCCTTCACCCAGCCTCAGAATTGTCCCAAATAAATCCAGCCACAAACAGGCCAAGGTTAATCCACCAAACAACAGCCAATAGTCTATAAAACAAATGGAAAGTTGCTCCAACAAATGTCCACCAATCAAACTTAATTCCACCAGGTTGAACTGAAATACGTCCACAAGAGCTCACTAGGCAAGAGAGGTTCAGAGTCTCCAAGGCACAAAGTCAAGCTGGAAGCACAAGGAACACACAGCCATAAACCAAACATGTTCCCAACAATGCCTCCCTCTGCCTGCCATGATAAATAGCTTTCCGGTGTAGCACATCAAGATGGGTGGAGTCTTCTCCTGAGTAATCTGGCAGATCTCCGCTGCTCCTGTCTCTGCTCTGCATGCTCTCAGATCTACCACAGAGAAGAGAAGGCAGCTCCTCTTCCTCATCTTCACTGACCATTTGACCCTGCAAGCTGTCCTCAGCTGAAACCTGTAAATCTCTTTCAGCTGGCCGTTCAGGGTCATTAATAAACCCAGTCCCTGATGTGCCAGGAATGAACTCATCCTCCCTTGAGCCGGCCTCTGAGGAAGAGTCAGTGGAATTGTCCAAGGGAGATAGCACATAAGAATGGATGCATTGCCAAGCGCCTGAATTTTGGTCACATGACTACAGGGGCACTGCAACAATCAGAACTTCAGGCAGAAGTCACGAGTTCCTTTCTTCAGTGCCATTGTAATTTTAACAGTCCTCAAACAAATGGTTGTAAGCTGAGGATTACCGGTATATATGCTGTGAGCTCATTTTCTTCCAACTTTCTTTGAATCAAATGTAATTATATATAGCAGCAGTCCCCAACCTTTGTGGCTGGATGGCCCAGCTTGGGTGAGGAGAGGGGAACCAGGCGAGTGTTAGGCTGGCATGCACCAATGCAAACAGCTCTACTCACACAAGAGAGAAATCTTTGGGGCGTGATTTCACACTCCTTCAGGCTTCTCCAAGCCAAAAACTTTTGCAAAGGGATGGAAGGCCTGAAGCAGCACGAGATTGCTCTCCCAAAGCCTTTCATCCGTTTGCAAAAGCTTTTGGCATGGAGAAGAAAAATCTTTGGGGGCGCAGTCTTGTGCTCATTCATTGAGGTTTCCCGACATTCCAAAAGTGGATTGGGTGTCCTGCGCAGGTAGCCTCAATGAATCAATAAAACTGAGCAGGGGATGTTTGTCCCACTCAGCCTCTGCTCTCTTGGGGGCAGGTGGCTTGGCAGCCCAGCTTGGGGGGGGAGGGGAACCAGGCCACATGAATGGTGAGCTGGTGCATGCGTGCACAGCCCCACTCACACAAGAGAAAAGAAGCCTTTGGAGCGCTGCTCATGCAAATGGAGCTGCGCGCACACACCGGCCCACCTCTTACGCAGCCCTATTTTGAATAGGCCTCAGCCCAGTAGTGGGCTGCGGCCCGGGGGTTGGGGATCCCTGATATACAGTATCCAGGACAGACTTACATTAATTTTACAATGTATAGTTTGCTGTTTTTATCTTTTTCAGAATCACAGATGGTGTTGTGGAGCCTTTAAAAATAGATCTTACTGAGTTGGATCAATTGATCAAAGATGAAGAAGACAAGATTTATACTAAGAGAGCTAATGTTTTAAGAAACAATGAAAAAATTCAGAAGCTGGTTCATATTATCAACTCAAGAAGGTGAATAGTGGAAGACTGGAACTATTACATTGTTTACAAATAAAATTACAATACAATAGCTTATACAATTTCAAGTTAATTTATTTGAACAATTGTGAATGGTTTTCTTGGAAAATACTGGTTATAGTTTTTAAAAAATGCAAAATATTTACTGTATTTAATGTATTGTTTGGTTTTGCTCTTTTAATATTAGTATCCCTAATTTGTGGCTTTCTGCTCTGTAAGACAGAGTATGAAATTTGAGAGGGTTGCAATTGTGATTATCTTAGAATCCCTGGGTAAATCCCATAGGAAAATTTGTATTGGAATTCTTGCAGGTCAGGGAAAAATACTGTATACCTTTGTTTACTTTTGTGATATTGTAAGGCAGAGATCCCCAACCTTTTGGGTACCAGGGACCGGTGCCATGGAGAAAGGCTTTTCAACAGACCAGAGTTTTGCTTACTACCTGCATCCCATGAATGGGGCTTCGCTTGTTTGTGCGGACCAGTTGCTGGCATGCTGCAGACCCGGGGTTGGGGACCCCTGTTGTAAGGAACAAAAAATAAGAAGTTGACCCATAAGAAAATTTGTAATGAAATTCTTACAGATCAAGATAAAAATGCAGTTTATCTTTGTTTATTTAAGACATCCTGTAACATAGAGAAAATAAGATTTGATCTGAACATATTGGTTACATTTATACGGTAATATACATTTGCAATGTACATATATACCCTACTTCTCTCTCTCTCTCTCTCTCTCTCTCTCTCTCTCTCTCTCTCTCTCTCTCTCTCTCTCTCTCTCTCTCGTGCTGAGATTACATCATTCTGAAAGAATTAGGGTATGAAAGTTGCATACATTTATGCTTGGGATTGTGGATTTTGCTGTTCCTATATAGTTTTAAAACGTCTTTGCTTTTTTTTGGGGGGGGGGGAGATTCACAAATATTGGAAGACTTGCTGGCCAACCAAATTATATAGTTTTTGGACCTTGACTTCCTCTAATGCCATTTGGGGAGGAATGTGTGTGAACAAATCTTAAAAAAAAAAAATACAGCACCTCAATCTAACATGATAATAAACTTTGTCCTGAGAATTGTTTTTCTAAGATTCTTATGCTTTTGAAGTCCTGTAAGTGTATAAATATTTAAAAATAGCACAACTCAAAAGTGTAGATTTCCCTTTCCATAACTCAGTTTCACACTTGAAAGATTCCTGAGACCAACTATCTTGAAGCTAGTTTGACTTCTGTCTGGCTGTCTTCTGGCTGTCTGTCTGATGAATTGATGAATATAAATATAATCTTTTTTTTTTTAAACTATACCATTTGTTAATGAATTGATTTAAGAAAATTCACTTTTCTATTTGGAAATCTATCATTTCTTTGCTAGTGAAGTAATATTTCTCATGGGTTAGGTATACTTTACTAAATGTGGAGCAGAAAGATAATTTAATATGTGCATATTGAAGGAGAGGGTTGATTAATAAATATAGAAGACTCTTAATGGTTTGGGAAAATATGCTTGTTACCATATTTAAATTACTACAATACATTGTACTACATTTTATCCATATGATTCTCTAAATTTTTATTGGAAATGAATTTTATAACTGAAATAATCATTACTGCAAAAGCAGTTTCTTGAATTAAACATTTAATTTTTTGAGTGTAATCTCTATTTTATGTTATATTAGTTGAATTGTCCTTAATTAAGATACATTCCACATTTCCAACTATATTTGTTTGAGCATATATTTCAGGTTAAATATTATCAAAGTAGAATACATGTTCATTTTCCTTAAATTATAAATGTGTAGTTTAGAAAAGGGATAGTAAAAAAAATGAATCAAATATATTATCATAGATGTTTTTATGCTAAATTCTTCATGAGCTACATATAAACTGAAGCTTAATATAATATCTGACATCTCTTTGTAGGATTATATATTGCATTGTTAGAAGAGTCCAATTTTATCTGTCAGTAAAAATGTACAACATAAAATATAATTTGTATTTTAATTTTGTTTCTATAAAATCATTAAATTATCTATTTTTGTATGAACAGTTTGTATAGTTATTTTGGGAGGAAATGTTTTATATAAACAACTAATATTAAAACTTATTGCATCTTTGCATCTACTGTGAATCTGAATTTGGGAGGAATCAAAGTCCTGTCATTTATATTTCAGTAGAGCAAATGTATAAATAATGGCAAAAATACAGAGTAAAAGAAATTTGTGTATACTTGTGTCTGTGTAACTATATTACAATTTACATATCAATCCTTTTACTACTCTTATCACATTCTAATTCATGTTACAGTGAGGGGGAAAAAGTGCTGCTGATTTTGTACATTTGCCTACTGACACAGAAATGATCAGTCTATAATTTTAATGGTAGGTTTATTTTAACAGTGAGAGATAGAATATCAACAAAAAATCTAGAAAAATGCATTTCACAAAAGTTATAAATTGATTTGCATTTTAATGAGTGAAATAAGTATTTGACCCCTTCGTAAAACATGACTTAGTACTTGTTGGCAAAATCCTTGTAGGCAATCACAGAGGTCAGACGTTTCTTGTAGTTTTCCACCAGGTTTGCACACATCTGAGGAGGGATTTTGTCTCACTCCTCTTTGCAGATCCTCTCCAAGTCATTAAGGTTTCAAGGCTGGCATTTGGCAGCTCAAACCTTCAGCTCCCTTCACAGATTTTCCATGGGATTAAGGTCTAGAGCATGGGTCGGCAACCCGTGGCTCTGGAGTCGCATGTGGCTCTTTCAGCCTTCTCCTGCGGCTCCCAGTCCTCCGCCATTTGCAGAGAGAGAGAGAGAGGCACTTGCGCTTCCTCTCTCTCTCTCTCTCTCTCTCTCTCTCTCTCTCTCTCTCTCTCTCTCTCTCTCCCTCTCATGCGGACATGCCCCCTCGCGGGGTTCCTGATTGGCCCTGCACTCGGGCATCTGGCCCCCTGGGAGAAGTGCAGCCAGGAAGTCCCTTTCCTGGGCTGGCCCCGTCCAAGGCATATGTGGCCGGGGAGCAGTGCGGGGCAGCCCTGGGATCCCCCCTAGGAGTGGCCCGCTGGAGCCTCCACTCAGCGGGCCAGCCCTCCTGCAAGCCGCGGCCCCAGGAAAGGGGGCTGCCCCATTGAGGGTCGGGCTCCTTTCGGAGTTGCCCCCAAAGTCCCATGCTTCCCCTGAAGCCCACCGGGAGATGGGAGGGAAGGCGGCGGCAGCTGCTCTCTCAAGGGACCTCTCACCAGCCTGGTGGATCTGCTGGGGACCCCCACCCAGGAAAGGGAGGTAAGCAATGAGTGCCGGATCCCCCGCGGGGAAGCTTGTTCCGTTCTTTCCTTTTGGGCGCTGTTTCTGAAAAGGGGGGGGACCCAATTAGAGCGGGAGGACTTCTCCCCAGCCCATCCCCACCACACCTGCCAGGGTCCCGTGGCTTCCCAGGGAGCATGGCTCGGGGCTGAGGGGGGAGGAAGCTGGGCGCTGTAGGAGCTCCAGAGCCGATGGAAGAAGGGCCGCCTGGAAGGATCAGCGCATGTTGGGGGGCCCTCTCCTTGGGACAGGGGGTCCTGGGAGCCCAGCTCCCCCCACAGCCCGGTGCTGGGCTTCCCCCTGAGTATCCTGCAGGTTGCTTTGCAGGGGGGCTCTCGGGGGTCCCCAGATCGGCAGGGCAGGGAATTGGGTCTTCTGTAAGACCCCGGGGTGTCTCTTTCTGATTCTGCTCAGCTCCGGGTCTTTGCTCTGAAGGGAGCCCGGCTGAGTGGCTTTGAGGGTTTTCCAACGGGGGCTGGCTGTGCTGCTCACTGGTCAGAGCTGGAGGGTCGACCCGTGCCTCGCCAAGGGGGTCCACAGAGCCCAGCCGTGTCCTGGGATGGAGCCCCCAACTCAACCAGGCAGAGAGAGTGAGAAAAGAGCTTTGGGTTCTGCTTCCTTCCCCCTCAGGGAATTTGGATTGTGGCAGATGTGAACTGGCCTCAGGAGAGCAATGGACGCCAAGACAGGTAAACCCCCCCCCCCGAGTTATCCCAGAAAAGAAAGAGGGAGAGGGAGAGGAAAGAGACAGAGAGAGGTAGAGGAAAGAGAAAGAGGAAGGGAGAGAGGGAAGAGAGAGAGAGAGGAAAGAGAGAGGGAGAGGAAAGAGAAAGGGAGAGGGAGAGGAAAGAGAGAGAGAAAAATATGAATATATGTTTTCCTTACTGGACTTTTAGTAAAGGTTTAATGAAATATTTTGAAATATTTTAATTAAGAGATGAGGTATGGGGATAATTATGCTATATTTAAAGATGGTAGATAAGCTACTAAAGTTGTTTTCACCTGTTGGGATGAAGGAGAAAGTTTTTTTCCTCTCTTTCTCCTGCATAAAAATTTGTTTTCTTTGTAGCAGTTCATTGATTTCATAAATGCAACACACTGTAGGTTTTTTTATACATAGCATAAAGGTAAAAAAAAAAAAAAAAGGATATATACAGTGTTATCTTCATTTTAGATGTCAAAAGGGTTTTGTGGCTCCCAGTGTTTTCTTTTCTGTGAGAAACGGGTCCAAGTGGCTCTTTGAGTGTTTAAGGTTGCCGACCCCTGGTCTAGAGACTGGCTAGGCCACTCCAGGACCTTAATGTGCTTCTTCTTGAGCCACTCCTTTGTTGACTTGGCTGTGTGTTTTGGGTCATTGCCATGCTGGAATACTCATCCACGACCCATTTTCAATGCCCTGGCTGAGGGAAGGAGGTTCTCACCCAAGATTTGACAGTACTGTACATGGCCCCATCCATCCTCCCTTTGATGCGGTGAAGTTGTCATGTATCCTTAGCAGAAAAATACCCCCAAAGCATAATGTTTCCTCCTCCATGTTTGATGGTGGGGATGGTGTTCTTGGGGTCACAGGCAGCATTCCTCCTTCTCCTAACATGGCGAGTTGAGTTGATGCCAAAGAGCTTGATTTTGGTCTCATCTGACCACAACACTTTCACCCAGTTCTCCTCTGAATCATTTAGATCTTCATTGGCAAATTTCAGACGGGCCTGTACATGTGCTTTCTTGAGCAGGGGGACTTTGTGGGCGCTGCAGGATTTCAGTCCTTCATGGCATAGTGTGTTACCAATTGTTTTCTTGATGACTATGGTCCCAGCTGCCTTGAGAT